GAAGCCAACACCCCGCCTCCCAAGTTAGCTTAAACAATGTTGGGAGTAGGTACAACAAGATTGTGGGGGACGACTCTAGAAGGAGTGGAGCTTCCTCTTCATCAAGTAAGGGAAGCACATCAACCTTCTCAACGGGGAACAGACCCCTAACATGCATCCTCTATCGGGGCCCTCACAAGTGGTTCGAATGCCGTCATAAGGGAGAAATCTATAGTCTCCAAAAGAAGTTATCGGCGATGACGGTGGAGTCAAAACAGACCGAAGAAGCATGCGAAGTAGAACCTGATGAGGAAGAGCCCTCAAGGCTGGGCGCGGTGCACATGTTGTACGCCATGGGAAAGGAAGAGCCCGAGGAGAGGTCCAAAAACACTGAGTTGATGTATGTAGAAGTGTTGGTGAATGGGAGGAGGGGCAATGCGATGATTGACACCGAGGCCACCCATAACTTCATATCCCAAGGAGAAGCTCGAAGATTGGGGCTGAAGCCGATTCAAGAAGGGGGTAGTATGAAAGCTGTTAACTCAGCCGCCAAGCCAGTTCATGGGGTTGCAAGGAACATCCCAACAAAGCTGGGGACTGGAGCGGAAACCTGGATTTCACTGTAGCCACCATGGATGACTTTAACCTTGTACTCGGTATGGACTTCCTACGTGCAAGTAAAGTTGTCCCGATGCCCCATCTGGGGTCAGTATTAGTAGCTGGACAACAGCCTTGCCTCCTCAAGACTTGCAAGATGAGAAAAAAGGGTCTAAAGGCCCCCTCCTTTCGGGAATGCAACTAAAAAAGGGGTTGAAAAGGAACGAACCCACATTCCTTGCTACTCTATCAGTGAAAGAAGATGAAGCCCCTCATGAAATCCCCGCAGCTTTAGATAAGCTTCTCACGGAATTTGAGGACCTCCTCCCCAAAGAGCTCCCAAAGGTGCTTCCTCCTAGGAGGGTTGTGGATCACGAGATTGAACTTGTTCCTGGTTCGAGGCCCCCTGCTCGAGGCCCTTGCCGTATGGCCCCTCCCGAGCTAGCGGAACTTAGAAAGCAACTGGAAGACTTACTAGAGTTAGGATTCATCCGCCCCTCGAAAGCTCCTTATGGAGCTCCCGTGCTCTTCCAGAAGAAACAAGATGGGAGCCTCCGATTGTGCATAGACTACCGAGCCCTCGACAAGGTCACAGTGCGGAATCATTACCCCATTCCGTTGGTGGCGGACTTGTTCGATCAACTAGGGGATGCAGTGTTCTTCACGAAGTTGGATCTGAAATCTGGCTACCACCAGGTTCGCATTGCTCAAGGAGATGAACCGAAGACCGCATGTGTGACGAGATATGGAGCATTTGAGTGGCTAGTTATGCCGTTTGGGTTGACCAATGCCCTCACAACCTTCTGCACCTTGATGAATCAAGTGTTCCATGAATTTCTCGACAAATTTGTTGTGGTGTACCTGGATGACATTGTAATTTATAGCAAGACCTTTGAAGAACACCTCGACCACTTGAGAAAGGTGTTTGAGAAGCTGCGAAAACATCATCTGTTCGTCAAGCGAGAAAAATGTGCTTTCGCCCAAGAAGAAGTTGGGTTCTTGGGACACTTTGTAGGTAAAGGCCGCATAAGGATGGATCCAAAGAAGATACAAGCAATTCAGGATTGGAAAGATCCAAGGAACACTTCCGAGCTTCGGTCCTTTCTAGGCTTGGCAAATTATTACCGCAGATTTATCAAGGGATACTCCGAGTTAGCCAGTCCCCTCACCGACCTCTTGCAGAAGGATCGTCGTTGGGAATGGTCAGAGAAACAGCAAAAAGCTTTTCAGAAATTGAAAGATTTAGTAGTGAGAGAGCCAGTCCTCGCTCTCCCTAACCCCAACAAACCCTTTGAAGTAGAGACAGACGCTTCCGATTTTGCCTTGGGAGGAGTACTACTCCAAGATGGCCATCCCATCGCATTCGAGAGTCGGAAGTTGAACAGTACGGAAAGGAAGTACGCATCACAAGAAAAGGAACTCCTAGCTATTGTGCACTGCCTTAGGGGCTGGAGACATTACTTGTTGGGCTCGAAGTTCATCGTCCGCACCGACAATACTGCTGTAACCCACTTTCTCTCTCAGCCTAAGTTGACGGGAAGACAGGCTCGATGGCAAGAATCCTTAGCTGAGTTCGATGTAGAGTTTGCATACAGGACAGGGGCTAGCAACAGGGTAGCAGATGCGCTGAGCAGGCGAGCAGACCTGGCACCCCTACAAAGATTAGCCCCTTTAACTTCAAGCAACGTCGCTACCTCTGTGCGTGATCAAGTCAAAGCTTACTTAGGAGATGATCCGATGACAGGAACCATCAAGAAAGTGATTGAAGAAGGGAAAACTAGACGTTTCTGGATGGAAGACGGACTCGTCTACACTAAAGGAAATAAACTCTTCATCCCTAGAGCAGGTGGTTTGAGAAAGATGCTCTTGAGGGAATGCCACGACACGCTATGGGCAGGTCATCCGGGTTGGCAAAGGACACTCAGCTTACTGAGCACAGGATACTATTGGCCGGGGATGAAAGAGGACGTGATGAACTACACTAGAACTTGTCTGGTGTGTCAACAAGACAAGGTCGACCGACAGAAATCCGGTGGGCTCCTTGAACCGCTACCAATCCCTACTCGCCCTTGGGAGAGTGTATCCATGGACTTCATCAGTGGCCTCCCAAAGGTGGACCAGCTCTCCGCAGTAATGGTGGTTGTAGATAGATTCTCAAAATATGCTACCTTCGTTCCAATGCAAAAGGCATGTGGTGCTGAAGAAACTGCCTCATTATTTTTCAAGCACGTTGTGAAGTATTGGGGACTCCCCAAGAGTATAGTGAGCGACAGAGACACGAGATTCACAAGCATATTCTGGTCAGAGTTGTTTCGGATGATGGGGTCAGAACTCAATATGTCATCAAGTCATCATCCACAATTAGATGGGCAGACGGAGAGATTCAATGGGTTACTTGAAGAATATTTGCGCCACTTCGTCAGTGCCAATCAGAAGGATTGGGTGAGACTCCTCGATGTAGCTCAGCTTTGTTTCAACGCCCAAAAGAGCTCTTCATCAAACAAGAGCCCTTTCGAGCTGACCATGGGCCAACAACCTCTCTTGCTTCACACAGTAGCAGACACCGAGGCCGGACGAAGTACTCAAGCTCGAGAATTCAAAAGGGAGTGGGAGCAAAACACAAAGATTTCTCGGGCCTACTTGGAGCGAGCAGCTAAGAGAATGAAGAAGTGGGCTGATCAAAACAGAAGACCGTTGGAGTTTGATGTTGGGGATATGGTGATGGTGAAAGTGTTACCCGAACAATTGAAGTTTTTGAGAGGAAGAGATCGAAGATTGATCAGAAAATACGAAGGCCCCATCCGCATCATAAAACGGATAGGGAAGAATGCGTACAAGGTCGAACCTCCAGCATGGATGAAGATACACCCAGTCTTTCACGTCAGCCGCCTCAAGCCCTACCACCCAGATCAAGAAGACTTAAGCCGCAACATCAGCAACCGAGCCAGCATCAGGAGCAGACAGCGCAACACCTCTTCAGCAGAGACCTAAGGATCAAGAACTTTAGTCTCCTTAGTCATATTTTGTAAGTCGACGAGGACGTCGACAGCTTAAGTGGGGGAGGATGTTAGGATCCAACCTCTTTCATCATGTATTTTGCTTTCTTATGTCTTTATTTAGCTTATGTTAAACTTTCAATGTATTCGTGTAAGTAGTTTAGGCGCTAGAGGAGATTATTGTGTTACTGTCATTTCAGTGTTCACTAGTATTTCTCCATGTAAGCAATATAAAGCTCTATATGGAGCGATGGTTGAATGAATGAAAAAGCTCCTATTCGGGTTGCCTTGCTTTAAGACTTGTGTGTTGATTTAAGCCTTTATAGATATTGTGCTTGCCTTGTTTTAAAGCTCCCCACCAAACCAAGAGACTCTCAAAGACGCCTACATCCTTATCGGTTCCGCTTGTGCCCGCTTTGAAGTATCGGTCGTCACAAGCCCCGACCCTGCACTCGTTACTAACGATTGCCTCATTGAGATACCTTTGGTCCGTGTTGCTGTGTGCCCACGAACCTCTCTCACTCTAGGCTTGCGTTCTTGTTTCTAAAAGATAAGAGCGCGCCGCACGATCCGGTGTCAAACCACTCGGACCGTGACACTAAGACATTATGAACTTTGATGTTGCACTGAAAGAATGGACTAGAAAATTTGCTGTCACATTAGAGCTAGCAAATTGGCTCAATGTGTAGTTTCATCTTGGTTGGTGGTGCCACTGCCACTGTTCCTGCTTTGTATAGTTTTGGCGCATCTTTAATTTAATTTAATTTTTTCTTTTTTCTTTTTGGATATCAACAGACTAAATGAAAATATTTTACAACTTGTCTTCATAGTCTTTCCTCGACCTTTTTTTTACTTTCTCGTTTGATCTGGGTTTTCCACTTTTGTCTTTATTTTCTATTTTCTTAGGTGAAAGGGGTGCTTTCTTACAAGTTTTCTTATTATGGTCATACAGCTTCTGCATTTGTTGGGTTTATGCATTCTCTTATGTTAAAGGGGTGAGTTCTTTCTTACCAGGCTCCTTTTTTCTCCTTTTTTAGGATGGCCTCCCGGTAACTTTCTAATAGCAGGCGGGGCTGGTTCAGGACTTCAAGGTAGGGTTTTTTCTCGTAATGTTTGACCTCCGGCAAAGGATTCATGACCGCTCCAAAAGCCATCATATAGATTGTCTTTAGTGTAGGCCTAATTTTTCCATTTTGTAAGCTAATGCATAAGAGCAGCAAATGTCTGTGTAGTGACCCTAGTCACAATTTAAACCCACAAGCCATCTGCTCTGAATCAATAGCCAAAGTATCATCCTTATATTGAACAACAAGAGTCTAACTTTCACCCGGCCTTGTAGTGATTAGTGTGGTCACCTTTATAGTATAATACTTGAAAAGTTTTGGAACTGATATCAAATTTGATTATCAAAAAGGTACAAATATGATATCATTGCACCAAAAAAACAAATATGATATCAAACTTGATAAATGCTAAAATCGTGAATAGTCTGCACTAGGTATAAACATATCTAAAATGGAAATCCTTAACATAAGCATGAAGCAGGGGAAAATTTTAGCCAAAACAGGAGCTTGATCTCTGAGAATTCCAATCTTGGCATCTACCTAACTGAAATATGTACAAGATTTAAATATTTAAGTTTGACTAAATTTATTTTTTGGCCAAAATAAATGTGGAAGTGTGTTTCAGAATGGAAGTAGTAAATGTAGTATTGTGCTGCTGCTGCTGCCTTTAGCTTAATGTGACTGATCTGCAGATTGGAAATGAGACCAATATTCCTTCACAAGCTGTCCAAATAGTGAACCTTCCTTCTTCATTAGCGTCATAGGGTCATCATATTCCACCAATTTTCCTGCAACATCACATTATATTCTATCAGTACACATTCTTTAGCACTTGCCTTAATTTTGTAAACCCAAATTGTCAAATCTGCTCTGAAATTCTGAATTCTGCAACTCTTTCTTTAGTTTCAATAAAAATGGTCACGAACGCAAGGCATAGAAAATATTAAACTCACCATCGCTAATGGAAAGAACCTTTGTGCAATCCATTACGGTTGGTATCCTGTGTGCTACTGTTATCACAGTGCAATCTGCAAACTCTGTTCTTATTGTTTTCTGCAGAATCATGTCAGTTGTATTGTCTATTGATGCTGTTGCTTCATCAAGCACCAATACCCTGCTTCTTCTCAGTAAAGCACGCCCTAGGCAAAATAGTTGTCGCTGTCCCATGCTCCAGTTTGCTCCATCCTCCACAACTGATAAGAAATACAATATTTGATTAGCACATATTGGCTTAGTATGTCATATTTACTATTTCATTTCAAATTCCAGAATAAGGATATTAGTTTACCTAAGGAGTCTAGGCCCTGATCTTTCTCTTGTACTGCCTCTTTGAGCTGGGATTTCTCGAGCACCTTTACAAGAATATGAAGGGGGGGGGGGGGGGGGAGGGATGGTGCATCAGCATCCAGAAGATTCCATACTTGCACAAAATAATGAAAATTTAATTCCTGATAAAAAGCTTTACCTCCCAAATTTGTTCATCTTTATGCTGGCACAATGGATCCAAATTGAATCTTACAGAGCCATTGAAGAGAGTAGGGTCTTGAGGGATAATTCCAAAACGTGACCTTAGATCGTGAAGTCCTACTGAACATATATCAATGCCGTCAACTACCATCTTCCCTGCAGCTGGTTCCACCAACCGAAACAATGCCCCAATTAAGGTTGTCTTCCCACTGCCAGTCCTACCAACAATACCGATTTTGTCTCCCCCTTCAAATGTGCAACTGATTCCTTTAAGAACCAGTGGTGCATCTGGTCTATATCTTATCTGCAAGACACCAAAAGTTTATATTGTTATCTATCTAAAATCTGTCAAATATGAATCCCAGTGCACTAAAAGTTACCTGTAAATTGCTTATCTCCACTTTACCAACCAAAGGCCAGTTTTCTGGGGGGCGGCTGCCTTCAATGACTTCTGGAGCTTCACTAGGTATGTGGGTGTATTGTTCAAGCCTTTCCACACAAATGATATAGTTGGCTAATGTGCACTGATTTTGGATCGCAAAAACCATGGTCATATTTAGCGAAAGACCATAAGATAGCGCCATTCCAATTACCCCTGCATTGTTTGTTGTATATAGCAATGAAGATTATATCTATCTCCCAAAAGGCAAGAGCTCCAAAGAGAGAGAGAGAGAGAGAGATAAATCTTACCAGAACTAAAAGTTCCAGTAGGAAGCAAAACCATGCACAAGGCTGCTGCTGCGAGAACAATGGCACAGAGGGTCTCAAGTCTCTGAATCAGCCATTCATTAGCTGCAAAATTGTGGAAGAATGGGCTTGCATTTGTATCAATAATATCGAGACTCTTAGAGAAGAACCGTTCTTCCTCCTTGAAAGCTCTGATTGTTATGGCTCCAGCTATAGATTCAGCTAAATGGTTTGCAACAAAAGACTTTGTTGTACCATTGATTCTCATCAACTCTTTTGCTGTCGCAAAATAGTATTTCTGTTGACAAATTTTATGAAATATTAGGTCATAATTCTCATAAATGTTTTTTCTTTTTTTTTTTTTTAAACAAAATAAAAAAAAAAAAAACTATGATAGATGGGAAGTCAGATTATATTCTTTATTTTTTTTGGTTGAATTTAGTTCAGAATTTGAAACCATGGACCTCCAGGTAAAATAGAGCAGCTACTGCTCAATGGTACTACTATGTGTCGGGATTGATTAATAGCTGTGTCATTATAAATGACGAATCTTAGTCCATGATGAAATATAATAAACTATTTGTGAACTTTCTTGTTTTTCTTCTCAACATACAACTCTGTTGGAGGCAAAAATTATGTTGTGGTAAAGCTGTACAAATATTTCTCTGTTTACCTGCAATTGGACTAACATGTAGATCACGGGTATGGAGACAAACAAGACTTGCCAAGTGATAACAGCTAGCACTCCTAGGTTGGCATATGCATTCATAGTAACCGCCATGGATAAGAGAAGGCTTATAGGAACATCAATGTCAACAATGCTCAAATCAGAAGAGACCTGCAGATTAAGGGTGCAAAAGAAGAAACGAAGCCTCATAACATTAGTTCTGAAATACCCTACCAGACCAGCATACATCAAATACTTGAAATTTAATGACAACTTAATGCTTACCCGACTTAGTATCCGTCCAAGGGGTGTAGAGTCATAGAAAGACATTGGAGCACGAAAGAGAGAACTCATCAACTGTGAAAAAAAAGATTTTGATGCTTTTAAGCCCAATGCAACAGCAGCCAGAGATCTAATTAGTAAAAAGAATGTCGAGCAGGCTCCAATGATGAGGTAAACCACAATCAATTTCAAAGTGCTGACTTGAGGATCATCAACACTGGTGGCCATCCAAGAGTTCTGTAATATCTGGCCTGTAACAAAGATCAGATGACAAATAGTTGCAACAGAAAGGTACAAGTAGCCCTTGTTCTGATTAAGGTATAGTAAGTATGGCTTAAGGCCAGTGTCTCCTGTTTCTCTTTCTTCCCGTTTAATCAATTGATCCCCTTCAGGTGCTACATGTTGTTTCTCAATATCAGTTTTCTTGATCTTCTTGATCTCCTTTGCAGTATAGCTTTGTCTTTCAGTTTCAGATGTCTTAACCTCCGATGGCCTTTCAGCTCCTGCAGTCTCTTTGTGTGCATTTACCAAATCCAAAAATTCCTGACTTGAATCTAATAATTGGTGATAAGGCCCTGATTTGAGGATCTCCCCATCTGACATCAGCTGCAAACAACAACAATTTTTCATTAGGACATGATTAATCAAAAAACAAGTGCTCTCTCCATCTTACCTCAAGGTTTTATCAATAAAAAAAAGTCCAAACTTAAACATTCTACTTTTACCCATTTTTTTCACTCTCATCTATTCACTCTTTTTTTCAGTCTATTTATCTCTATCCTTAATTTTCGTGCCAAAACTAAATCTTAACTAACCCGAGCTTAGACAATGAGGATAGCAGTTGACATCAAAATAGAAGATAGAAACTGCAAATTGTTGATACTGATGACTGGCAATATCTGATAGATTTGTTGAGCCTTGAGGAAGCTCAAGATAACTGAGGTGACAACCCCCAAGAAAATTGATCCAAACTTCTAAGGGAATCAAATTACACTCCTTATTTCTGAATACAGAGCACCTCGGACTACTTTGATGGGTGTGCAATGGAGTTATAGCCTTATAGGTTTAAACCAAGTTAATGAAGGGTCCTACAATCTGTAATACTGAAGCAAGAAGTCTTTTGGCTAATGAAAATTCCAAGATTTATTTCAAGAAGAAAGCTGCACTGAACATCAGGAGAGTGATAGTTGGCTCACCAAACAGCAATGAAATGCCGGAAGAAAATCAACTTGATGTGTCACAAGTAAGACAGTCTTTTCGGAAAGTGCTTCCATAATATATTCCTGCCACAATTTTAGAAGCCATAATTATCAGTTTATGCTATGACTAAAGAAACAGAAAATTACATTTTTAGGGTGAAAAGGTTACATTGAAGAGGCTAGTTGCTGTATGTGCATCAACAGCACTGAATGGATCATCTAAAAGGTATATGTCAGCATCTTGGTATAATGCACGAGCAAGTTGGATTCTTTGCTTCTGGCCTCCGCTTAGATTTACTCCTCTTTCCCCTATCTCTGTCAAGTCACCAAATGGAAGAAGCTCAAGGTCTTTCACCAATGAGCACCTCCGAATAGTTTCTTGGTACCTTAGCTCATTCATGGCAGACCCAAAAAGAATATTATCACGTATTGTCCCTGTTTGGATCCAAGCTGTCTGGGAAACATAAGCGATCCTCCCATAAACTTCAACCTGAAAGACCAAACCAATTTAAGAATATTAAGCTAAAAGCTTAATAGCATTCTGGTTATATAATTCCCAAATACAAAGTATAAATTGGGAGTACACATAATGGCCTATAAATGTGTCAACCTACACAATCATTTGCCCAACAATAGTACTAGTACGGGAATTGATTTGAAAACTTACAGTTCCCTCCATCAATGGTACTTCATTAAGAATTGCTGCTAGTAATGTTGATTTGCCTGAGCCAACTTCTCCACATATAGCAACCTTTTCACCAGGTCGAACTTCTAGATTCATGTTTCGTAGTGTTGGTTTTGATGGATTCATGTCCCAAGAAAGATTCGCAGACCTCATCAAAATGGCATGTGGGCCTTGGTTTAAGCTATTTGTATTGCTTTTCTTGTTGGAATTTTCAGTCTGAAGCTCTGGTGCCTCAAGAAACTGTGCAATACGTGTAAATGCAACCCTTGCTTGAATCACCACACTAATAACATCAGGGGTAGCTCTGATAGGGTCTTGCACAAGACGCAATGTTGCGACAAAAGTAAAAACATTGCTGGCATGTAGAGGAACACTGAGGAAATAACAAGCTCCAAATGTGGCAGCAGAGACTAGAACGGGGGATGACCAAAAGAGAAAACCATTATATGCTTTCCACAACTGCAATGCCTTTAACCACTTAATTTCCACTTCCCTTAAGCGCTCTATCTTATCCTTGAAGTAATTCTCCCATGCATACAATTTCAGAACCTTCATGTTTACAAGAGCCTCAGAACAAGCCTTCAGCCTTGAATCTTGTTCAGCCATAAGCTTACTTTGAAACTTATGCTGTAACTTTGCAAGGGGGGCGTTACAGAACACGGTTATCACAATCATTGTTAGTGCTGCAAGTGTAGCAAGTCCCACTGCATGTATTAGAATACATAGAGCAATGCAAAGTTGAAGGCTTGTAGTCCAAGTCTGATGAAACCAGAAAGGAAACTCGCCAATCCGGTAGGCATCAACAGTGACATAATTCATTATCTCACCACCAGAATACTTTATCCTTGCAGCATTTGATAACCTTAGCTGCTTCTTGTAGATTGCTGCAGTAAGCAAGGACCTCACTCTAAGGCCAATCAATCTGCTTCGAAAATACCACTGTCTCTGTGACAGTGATTCCAAAGTCTTTGCTGTGAAGAGTGCAATGGCCAACAAATAACCTTCATTTTTAAAAGCCTCTTTGCCCTCTGCAACCTCAATGAAGGCATTCAGCAGAAGAGGTCCAGCTGACAGGGTAAGTATCTTCAGAAGGGCAAAGAACCCAGAAATCAGTATATCAGTACGATGGCACGCGACAATAGTCCACAACAATGAGGGCTGTGAGGAAGGTCCATCCATTTTCTGTTTACTAAACTGGTCCATGAACTGCAAGTAACAGGCTTCCGCTCTGTCTGCATCCCGTAATTTGGGAATGTCCTCTTCCTCAAGAGTCTTCTCCTTACCTAATTTCATCAAGGGATTCAACCACCAGAATGTCAACCTACTTAACAACCCTGCTTTACCAAATAAAGAGACTTTGTCTGCTGCATCATTTTTACAGCTGCCATTAGCCTCACCATTCAAAGGAGTATAAAGGGTACTTCCACAGTCACTCTCTATATTATCTTCATCTTCGTAAAATCCGTGCCCCTTGTAAGTACATAACAACAACAAAGTTGCTCCTAGGAAAGACAGGATATCCAAGGCCACCTTAACTGTTGTTTCATAGTCATCTATGGCAGCAAAAATCGCGATCAGGGAAACAGTCCCAGCAGAAATGAAAGCAATGATGGACAAGATTTTCAATGAGACTCTAGAGAAGCACTCCCCTCTAAAGCTAGCTGATAATCCAACCGACACCCACGTAAACCCTTGAAAGAAATACAAAACCCACCAATGAATTGGTGATGCAGAATGACCATTTCTCAACTTCTCCTCCAAAATCCAACTTCCTAAACCTATGTAAACTAGTCCCAAACAACTATTAAAAACAGCTGATGATTTCTGTAAGGCTGAAACATGTCTAAAACGAGGCGGTAGTTCGACTCTCTTAGAGGATATGTTTGTAATCATGTTGAATAAGAGCACTGCCAGAAGCAGTATATCAAAACAAATGATAAAGGCATGATTTACACATGAAGAAGGATGAGTAACAAACTCTAAGGGAGGAACACAAGGCTCAGTAGTATTGATATTTGAACACGAATTTTGCCCACAAAATGAATTCCAGAGATCTTCCATCATTATTTTTCAGCCTTTTTTTTATATTTACAGATTCTGCATCAAAATACAGATACCAACTTATCAGATAATAAAACTTAACATTTTGATCATACTATAATCTTCATTAGAAGATAGATTAATCAGCAAAAATCAAAGAGCAAAAACTTTTTGAAATGTGATTAGTTAGGAAAACAAAAACAAAGTCAATGTTGTGAGCCTTACGTATTCAGAAAAGAGGTGACAATCTTGAAGAATTCTACTGAATTTTCTGTAACTTATAATACTAAGCTAGTAGGATTTAAATAACGAGCTGAGGTCGTTATTTAATGCTACTAACAGCTGGTTTATTTCAAATCTGCCACCAAGTTTTATGTGATTGCTGACTTACAATAATATTACGATATATAAATAGTTACAGTATCTTTAAAAAAAATAGAGTATGTAGAGTAAATGTTTGAGAAAATACATCATCCTATGTTGTTATAATACATTTTTCTCGTCAAGAGGGTTTTCTAATATTTTTTCTTTTTCAAACCTTTAAAAAAATTGTTATAATACGTCCGTTTTTTAATACTCCGTACATTATATTTCTTGAGATGTCCCCCAAATAATGTTTTTTTTCCTCTATTTTGGGTGCTTGTGCTACAAGTGCAATTCGTTTACAAAAATAAACAATTGTTTTTGGACAGTAGTAGATTCCTTCATTAGATTTAGTAATGCATTAAATATATTATACTTATTATATTACTTCTTATTATATTATTATCATGTAGACGTGTACAAATGAAACTACGAAGTAGATGGTTCATGCAACTCTTGCCAACAATTTGCGGGAAAATCAACACAATTAGGTAGGTATGAAAATTGATAGGATTCGTGCAATAAACGTGATTTAGTTGAAATTTTGTGAACAATTTGTCACCTGATGTAGTATGTAGGTATTAATTTGCCATGTAATTAACCTATTATTCCTCTCGATTATCCGTCTTATAGGCCATGAAATACGATCTTCCTGCTGCCGACAGGAGGTTTGTAAAGCAATATAAAGTGTAACTTTTTATGTTCAACCAAAAAACTAGTCATGCAACAATGTTAAGTTGAGAAGTTTTACGCATTATTTTTCAATAATTTCATTATATATTAGGGATGGAGTACTACATAATCTTTTGGTCACGTCTACGTCATCTAGGATTGAGATGTGTGAGTAAGTGAGTGTGACACAAAATTGCTGTTATAGGAATATAGGGTTTTTAATAAATAAATAAATAAAACCGTGGACAATAGCTATGTCATAGTTGAATTACGTTGCAATTTATACGTACGAGTAACGACTTTTGAGTCAAGGATCATATACGTTACTTTGAAATCATTTAAGTAATCGGCTAACCTCTAATCTGAAATCATCAAATAATTTGATGCAATTGACTCACCCACAAAAATGCTCATCATCACCGTATAGGTTTGAAACCACCAAATTAACTTCTATTAGTTGGAAACTTGGAAATAACTAATAAAAATTTTGAATTACCAGCAACTCGTTCGATTCATAATAATAAATTGGTGAAATAAAAAGAGAGTATAGACAAATACTTGATGACTTTGTTTAATTGTTAAATATAAATTTAAATGCTTTGGATACAAATTTTGTTTATCACGGAAACAAAAGTGTAATTTTTTAGATAAAAATGGGTAAAACCGCTACTTGAGGTAGCGGTTTTGCCTTGAAACCACTAATTGAGATAGCGGTTTTGCCTTAAAACCGCTACTTGAGGTAGCGATTTATACCAAAATCACTACTTGAAATAGGGGTTTTAAGGCAAAAGTGCTACCTCAAATAGTGGTTTTACTCCGTGATGAACGAAATTTATTTATTCACTTGGTAGTAATTAATTAAGAACGGAAGAACGAAAGAATAAATTATCATGTTTTTCAACTTTCCAACCACCTCCATATTTTTCGGGGGGTAATGTGGTAAAATGAGGGTTGATTGATAATTAACTAAAGACAGAAAATGGGCAAGACTCACCCTTTCATTCAATAATAATTGCTTTCAAATCGATTAGATATGTAGATGTGATAGATCGGCAGAGGATAGATGGTTTTACCAATCTTCATGTCTTTATTGTCCAAACTCCCAACGCTAGTACTGTTACATCTTCTTCATTCTTTAATGCTTTTAACGCTTTGCGCCACATTTTAGGACTACCACATTACTAGTTTAGCATTATGCCTCGCTTTAATTTGGTTGTTTAGTTATTGACGGATCTAGGATTTTATCAACTTGATTTAATTATACACTCAATTTACCACCCTCTTAAGCTCTAAGCCTCTAACTATGCATTATGTTTTTTTGTGAAATATAGTCCTTAAAGCTCTCTATTTGTTACATATACTATCCAAAATATGATACTCTTTTATCTCTAAAGATTTTGTTTTTATAAACGAGATACTTTCACTAAATAAGTCAAAACAAGAACTTTTAGAAATAATTTAAGAGTATTAAATTCTAAATACTTTCAAAAAGGGTTTGTTGTTAAAGTAACGTTATCGTATACCTTAATACTTTCTCCGTTTTTTTTTTTACACTTGCAACATTTTGACTTTTGCACTATTTACATATCTCACTAGCTTTGGTGATTTATAGGTTAGGAAAAATATAGTTACGTGGGATCTTGTTTTACTCGTCTCGATTTATACTTTCATAATATCAAATTTTTATATATTGGTAATTAAAAATATTAACGATTTAAATAGTGCATTGGCAAACGTGAAAAGAGAAATGTTGCAAGTATTAAAAAAACAGAGGAAGTACCTAATAACATATTCATTCTGGATCATACACATGTTATTCATCTTTATTACAAGTATAAATTAATATGATACTATAATACCACTCATACTAGTGTCTAAATTAAGGAGGATAAACATTATACACAAACAGTGAGTATATCTTTAATGAATGAAAGAATAATTACTCCATTTTCATTAATTTTTCTGATGCGTATTACCTAAGCTTAATAATCTCCAAATTCCTCGAAACCTCCCCTTTCAGCTAAACCAAACCATTAAAGTTTCTTATTCTTTTTGTCATGGTTTAACAAAATTAAAATTAGAATCCTTAAATATAAGGTCTCAAATCATTAGAAAGTAAACGTTATATGATCGAACTATGTTGATGAACATTAAAACATACTTCGTATTAATCTTTAGTTTTAAAAGTGAAGCTTAAAATATACTCCGTACTTCACATAAACTTAGAAACAAGCGTACCGTGTGCTAAATTAAGCCTTAGCCTGTTAGTCGACTGGTGATGATAGTAAGAGTATAGTTGTTCCTCCTCCTGCAAGAACATATAATAAATTTATATATTTAACATGCACATTTACCAATTGTACTGTATATTCAAAGCACGTATGTACTAATTAATTACGAAAAGTTAAGAATCATCTCAAGCAGAAACACAAAATAAAAACCACTTTGGACATGTTCGGCAAAATTAATTAGAAAAATAATGCAAAATCGAATGAGGAGCAAGCTAAGATCGAAACTTACTTGAAAATGAAGGACACACTGCACGTACACTTGCAAGATGGAATTTTGATGAGATAGCATAGGCAATTGTTTTCTCTTCTTATATTAGTAGTGTTACAAATTCTGATATTTATATACTAGTATTACAAAGAAACAAGAAATCTAGTAGGACGACATGAATGTCCTTCATTAAATCATTAGATTCTTTTCAACAGTAATATTTAGTTTTCTCTATAATTAGATACAATATAAGATCATGAGAATATCGGTATTAAAATCGGGTTAAAAGAAAAAACAAAAGACGTAAAGTTTCTTCAATATTAGTGTGTGAGTATAGTTATTCCACGCCACTATTTGACGAAATAGACACGTTAATAATAGTATATAGTTTAAGAAAATTAAATAAAAATGATTTAGAAGTAAAATTTTGTGGAGATAATTAGGGCAACGTTGAAGGCTACTGTATTTGGTCTGCCCTTCTCTCTTTGATTTGTACTCCAACTTACTTACCCGATTTTGAAAGACGAATGAACTTTTTCAACGATTTTGATTGAAATCATTTAGGGTTTTTTTTGTCGTTTTGTGATAAATGCATGAGTCCCATTTTGTAGAGTGGACCTATTGATTCGATGTCAAAAGTAATTTGAAGGTCCTTGCTTATCATCATGTTGAAAGATTTTTGAATTGTTGATTCCTTGTAATAATAAGAGTATGTTGGTCTCTTGTTGAGTATGTGGCGTGTTTAGAGATTGAATATTGAAGATTCGGTTGTAATAATAAAAGTATATTGGTCTATAATAACATCGTATCATTGATCGTTGGATTAATTAATGATAAGGTTTTGAGATCGATTATGTCGTGATTAATAATTGTATTGATATTGATTTTAAAGTAATATAAAAATGGATAGATGGAATTAATGTGATTTTAAGACATGGTTGTAAAACAGTACTCTGTATTATGTAAAATGTTGACGTCTTGATTTTGATGTGTATGTGTGTGCAAATTGTTCCTTTTCTACTCGCACTAGATAGGACTAATTGCTTTGGTTTGAATCGTTATGTTGTATTAGCCACTTTACTGTAAATAGTAAATAATAATTGATCGGGAATTTATAATTTAAAATTTTGATCATGTATTAGGGAGTTCTTGTCTAGATCTAATTTAAGCAAATGATTGTAGAGATACATCCAATTCTCAATACTATTGTGGTCTATAATGAAAAGTACACTCTCATTTCAATAAATAAATTTTGATGAATTATTAAAAATATATACAAATATATATTTCCTATGTTCTTTTAATATTGTAACATAGGGGTTTGGCATAATTTTTTTGGTAGTGGGTAATTGGGATTAAGGAAGAGATAGAAAGGTATAAATACAAAAGTGTTCATGTGATGGTAAGCATAACTAAAGAAACAAGTGTTAAAAAGTAAGAGTATATTAGGTATTTGCAGTGAGAGCATAGATATATATTTTCCTAAAATGGATGGTGTAATATTTGTGAAACTTCTTTTAAAGTCAGGTGATGCAATATTAAAATAACGGAGGAAGTGTATGATTAACTAATCAATTAATATAAGTAATAATTGTATCATTATTGTTACTTTTATTTGGAAAGGACTAAAAGAGAACTTGAAATGGGCAGGATCCACCTTTGCTCCATGCTTTTTTTGTGCTATTTCTATGCTTTTTAGGATACACGATGACGGGCATGAATTTTGCCACCATTTGACCATATTCATCTAGCAACCACCACAAGTTCTTAATCATCCAAGTTATGTATATACCCTTTCTTCAAGTAACTTAATTTAATTCATTTGCACCTCTTGAAAATTTGCCAAACATTCCAACATTCCTCGTTTAGAACCACTCGATGCTAACAAGCTGATGCATTAATGACTCAAATATTAAATCCCATATTGTCCTAACGATTTTTTTTTATTATTATTTTTTTTACAAATTACAAATGGGAGTAGGGGAATTTGAACTTGTGACCTATCATACACAGAGTCACAGACCCTCAGTCGTCTTAACCACTAGGTCAAAACCTTATCGATTTATAACGATGTAGGTTGTGTACCATTTCAAAAATAAATAAATAAAGAAAAAAAGATTTTGTTCATATCACCAGTCTTGGCTGTTCCCTATAAACATAAATTAGATCATGGTATATAAACCTTCTATTTAACCTCACTTAAATGGTCTTGCCTTATTATAGGTTACGGAGTATGACTTAATTAAGCGACCACGGATTTTTAAAAATGGGTCAAGTATTTCTTTTAGTTCTTCTATGTGCTAGTGGTTAAGGGTTAATTGCATTGGTGTAATGTTCTATGGACCGGGGATACCACATGATCAAGTGAGGTGAGCCAACGAGTGGATTGTGGGTGTGGAGACATGATTTGACCCAAAAGTAAGAAAACAACAGCAAGGCTCAACCGCTCAATTTAAAGAAGTTAAGAGTGTTATTCATTTATTCATCAATTATCAATGTCATTATCTTCTAGACAACGCACGCAATGCAAGATAATGAGGCACTATGGAAACCAGGCTGATTTACAAATATAGCTTTTTAAAAAATTATTTACGATTTTGCGTTGCAATGAAACTTATTTACGAAAATACAGTTTACGTAGGCTTGGTAATACATTTGGGGTGATTTTTTTCTTTAGAGACAAACCGTTACCTTAAGTAGCAGTTTTAGTCTAAAACCGCTACTTAAGGTAGCAGTTTGTCTTTAGTACTACAAGTAAAGATACAGAGTAGCAAATTATATAGGGTAAAACCACTACCTCAAGTAGCAGTTTTAGTACATAAACCGCTACTTGAGGTAGCGGTTTTATTCTGAAAAATAAAAAAATAAAAAACAAAAATAAACTTATTTGAACTTACGTGGACAGTGATTAAGTTTTATTCTAACGCAAAAGTGTAAATAAATTTTCAAGTAACCATACTTTTGTAAATCATCCATGGAAACCACTACTCTCTAAACTTGCTTAACGCATAATTGCATACCAATAGATTTATAGCTTCCCCAATTCAATATTCTACTTACACAGTTACACTCCGTAAGTTATAGAAATTCATTTAACTCAAACTTCGACTCAACCTTAGATCAAACATGTGTAAAATAAAGTACTCTTGTCGTAGATCAAACATGAGTAAAATAAAGTACTCACTACTTTATATAGTTGACAAAAGACAATAGACACGAATTTTATTCACCTTAAACCAATTGAATGTCTGGACTCAATTTTATTTGACTTAAACCAATTAAATGTCTAATTGACAACAGAGTATGTATTATTCTTATCAACTTCACCAAAATTAAAATGAAGCAATAAGAACTTCATGAACCAATGCAAAAAGATATTTCAGAAACAAAGAGATACTATAAGAGCACTATAATCATGAATTGAAGTGAATACAAAATATGTAGTTGAAGGTCAATTGCCAACCCTATGGACTATAGAGGGTTCATTCATTTATTATAATTAATATAAATGAGAGTGAGCAATAGCTCAAGTGGTTAAAACTCCCCTTCCGATTTCAAGAAATTTTGGGATTGAGTTTCATCACCCTCCCTTATGACTCTCTAAAAAAACAAAAAAAAAAAAAAAAAAAATTGTCAACATGCAAATAAATAAATGTCAACATGCAAATAAATGTCAATTCCTATTTCTTTTCTTCTTCCCCATTATAGCTTAGTGTCTTAAAACAGAAAATCAGAAAGATTCGTCTCATGATCTATCAACTTCACAATTCAATGTACTCAACTTAAATATCAATAAGTAGTTGGACAAACTAATAGTTACGTACCCAACCACACAATGCGACTAGTACTCGTATCATTTAATGTACGTATAATTTCTAGCATATGTGCATGCCTTAATTATTTTTTAGTACTTCTTTTAAGTTGATAGATGAAGTACACAATCAAATCTAAAGTACATTGAATTGCTGATACGCCGGTCTAACCCCCTAATTCTTTGATGTATGGTAAAAAATGCATGAAAAATTAAAAAAAAGATCTTTTTTATGCTTTCGTGTTTTAATTTAAATTGAGAATCGAACGAAAAATAATATAGAAGGCCCTAATTAAATAAGAGGGGAAAGACTTAAGATATGAAGAACTTATTACGATAGAGGAGGCACGATTTGATAAATCATTATAGCAATTTATCACATTTGTAATTTGTTAAGGAGTGGTCTCTTTCTAACTTTATTTGAAGCATTCCCACACCAAATTAAAACCAAGCGAATTTTGTGGTTGTATGATAACAAGCTGTGATTTTTCTTCTTTTTTAGGTAGGTAGTTGACAATTATTCTTTTTCGTTCTAGTTGTGTATATTTTTCATGTTCCATTTGTAACTAGAAATCCATACAAATATACAATGATTTATGTTACGTCTTAATATTTGTGTATGTCATGTCTAAGGTCGTAAAAGTGCCTATTACTTTTGGATCTCATCCTCCCAATTAATTGATCAACCAAACTTACCAAAGGCCATCAAAGGATTCAAAGGTATAGTTTATATTGTACTACACTAGTATTATGAAGACATTGGTAGTAGAAGTTAAAAAGAAACTGATCGTCACCTATTGTCACTAGTGAGTAGTGTTTCTCCTATTCTTTTTATATTTTATGATTTCTTTATAAGTTTATTTCGTTTTGACATATTACGAGTATATTTCACTACAAAAAGATAGACATTTAGCAACAGATCAAATCCGTTGCTAGATTGTACTTTTCTGTCGCTAAATATAGGTAGCGACAGATTTTAAAACAGAATTACTTTGTTATCAAAACTATTGTCGCTAAATGAGACTAGCAACGTTGTATTTGTTTTCCGTTGTTATATTACCGCACTACAAGAAATAGGCTTATTTCCGACGGACAAGATATTCCGTCGGAAATCCCGTATATTCCGACGAAATATAAATCCGTCGGATATTTCCGACGGATTTCCTACGGAATTTAAACCCGTTGGAATACATGGGCTTTCCAACGGATTTCCTACGGAATTTAAACCCGTTGGAATACATGGGCTTTCCGACGGAATTTTCTGTCGGAATATTACTTTTCCGGCAGAATTAAAATCCGTCGGAAAGTTCCGACGGAATTTTCTGTCGGAATATTAATTTTCCGGCGAAATTAAAATCCGTCGGAATTTTCCGACGGAGTATTCCCTCGGAAATCCCAAACATTCCGACGGATTATTAGTCCATCGGAATTTCCGTCGGAATAATAATTTAATTTTTTTTTTTAAAAACCCGGAAACCCTACCCCCTCCCCTTTCATTTCTCTTTTCTCTCTCCTCTCTTCTACCGCTTTTCCCTTTCTCTCTCCTCTCCTCCTCTTCTCCTTCCTCCTTCTTCGTTCTCCCCGTAATCTCTTCTCCTTCCTTCTTCTTCGTTCTCCCCTTATTCTCTCTCCTCCTTCCTCCTCTGATCTT